GTGGCTACAGAGCGAAGGCCTGGAGAGCCACCCCCCCCCCAGCAACTCTGAGGCGAGGTCCCCCCAGGAAGGATCGGGGAGGCATTTAAATGCCCTTCCTGGCCTGTCCAAGGGCCGGCTTGCCTGGGTTCCCCACGGCCATGGAGTGCCCAGGCAAGCCAAGGGAAGGCAGTTTAAGCTGCCTTCCCTTCAAGGGGGGGATTGTCCGGGTTCCCCGCAGCCGTGGGGCGCCCGGGCAAGCCAAGGGAAGGCACGGGGTGTGGCCTAATATGCTAATGAGCTGTGTTGTCAGGGGTTTGGCCTATTATGCTAATGAGTTCCTGCTGTTGGGTGTGGCCTATTATGCTAATGAGTTCCTGCTGGGCTTTTTCTACCAAAAAAGCCCTGGAATATGGGAATCCTGTTCGTGGGCCTTCCACCTCGTGCAACCGGCCCTTTCAAGAAATGGGACAGACATGTCGGCTTCCGGTCTGGCTCCCGCGCATGGCGGACGCTTCCTCGGGTCGCTCCCGAGGGCGCCTCGCCCGCCCGCGGTGGAGGAGGGAATCCGCACGAGCGGAGACCCGAACGAGCCCCTCAGAAGAGAGGAGCTCGGATCCGGGGCGCTTTAGGGCGCACTAGGGGGGAGTCGCTCTTTCGGCCGAGAGGTCGGAGAGCGAGGCTCCCGCCATGCCCTGCCCCAATGGACCTTGCTGCGTGAGCGACCCCGAACGGGGTTTAGCGGAGCCACCAGACGTCACCGAGTGATAAAGCGACCATCCGCAAAAGTGGAAAAGAAAAAGAAAAGATCGGCTTAACTGTGAGTTGTCAAAATGCAGAGAAAAAGAACTGAAAATTGTTTTCCCCCCCCTCCCAGCGAAAAAGGCGAAGAGGTTAATCCTCCATCTATACAAGCGAAAAAGAAAAGGAGGGGGGGGGTGAATTGAGCGGACAGTGATGTTTTCCTTTGATGTATTTGAAAGCGAGAAACTTGTCTCTCTGGAGCACATTTTAAGAACTTTCTAAAAGTAAACAAAAAAGAAAAGATGTCGGAGCTGGGCAAAAGCGAGCGGAGAAGGAGGGAGGGACTTCCGTCTGGGCGTTTGTTTGTGCGCAAGAGCCGGCTGTTGAATGTTTGGACTGTTTATGGCTGTGAATCCGACGGGAGTTTTGCAAAAAAGATAAGTTGGAATTGTGACAGCGAGAAGTGCCTGATAAGCGCTTATAAGTCAACAATTGCGAGGAGGACCCATAGAGAGTTTGGGAGCGAATATAAAAGCGAAAACGAAATTGATACCATTCTTGAAAATGGGGACCTCCGGGGCATGAAAGGAAGAGGATTTATAGTACATGAACTGAGCGTATTAATAACAACCCAAAGGAGGATCTAACAAGCCGGAAGGAGAAGACAACAGACGAAGCTCCTCCACGTCAGCGATAGTAAAAATACCCAGCACGCAAAGAAGCGGTTCTGAATGTACACAGAAGAGACCCTTTTTATTAACAGAATCTCAAAGGAACATTACTAACATATTAACAGAGAGTACATGTAACAGGACTAAGAAAAGAAGTTTGGCAACACACAGAAGAAGCCCAAGAAGATTAATTGGATACTACTAACAGTTTAATTTACCAGTTTATATATCACTCAGCTTTCTCTTTCTCCCACTGTCTACCCCTTCCTTTTTTTCTTTTAAGCGAAATACCTCCCCTTTTTAGGGGAGCCAATAAAACCTTTATTTAAAAAAAAGAAATGGGACAGACATGTGGTCGGAAACAGCTGGGCTTCTTCTGACGTTCTTGTGTTACAGGACAGGCAGAAGGCCAAGAGAGTCTCTCAAAAGCACACAATTCAGCTTTCATCTGAGACCCTGTCTGGGACACCACTCTGAAGTCTTTGAGGAAAGGGCGGGGCATAAACGTGACCGATTTTAAAAGTGGGGATCCTTCTAACATATTTTAGGATCTCTGCTACTAGAGTTAGATATTTACAGAATTATAAAGTAATGTAAGCCACCCTGAGCCTGAATCGGCATGGAGGGAAGGATACAAAAAAATATGTCCAGGGTCCGACATGCCTTTCCCCATATATACCCCAGAGAGCACTATGGTCGGGGTCACAACACCGATTGAACCTCCCAGGCCCTAAGGATGCCAGGCTCGCTGTTACCAGGGCCAGGGCCTTTTCAGTGGCGGCTCCATACTGGTGGAATGAGCTCCTGGAAGAGATCAGGGGCCTGCGGGATTTTCTACAGTTCCGCAGGGCCTGCAAGACGGAGCTCTTCCACCTGGCTTTCAACTAGGAGCCGCCCTCACCACTGCCACCAACATCTGTGGTTATGGGCCGGTCCCAACCCTGAGACTAAGCCATACCATCGTGTGATGCCAGAAGATCACGGAGTTGGAAGATGTTACATCATATAGCATGATGCCATCTCAATTAATGATGGAATGATTACTATTACTAGCACTTTATGATTATTTGATTGTTTTAAATGTTTTATGTGGATTTTATGGTACTCTGTAGCGACTAATGTAAGCCACCCTGAGCCTGTTCGCGGGGAGGGCGGGATACAAATGGAATAAATAAATAATAAAATAAAAATAAATAAAAGTTAGAGAAAATTAGGAATGAGACATTTCTTTCTGTCTCATGACAAAACGGGTGGTTTCCCCAATGAAGCTGACAGACAGCAGATCCAGGACTCTCAATGAGAAATGCGTCTTTGCATGATGAACTTATGGAACTTGCTTGTATTCTGACTTAGGCTGCTGTTTGAAAACAACAGGCAAAGCAGGGGAGGTCTACCAATGGCTGCTAAGCAATGCAGCATTTTCCATTTCAAAGGGCCCCCATATGGGGCAGCGCTACAACTAGGCCAATGTGGCAGGGAACCCGATGAAGAACCTTCTTTGCCTTGAATCAGCTTGAGACAATTGCAGAGGGAAAAGAAGGAAACAATTTTTTTAAAGCGTGGAATTACATAATTGGCTAGTGGAACTGACTGCCACGGGACACAGCGACTTTGTAAACTGTGGAGTTAAACCACTCACTCTTAACTGCATGCGGTTACGATGTCTTACTCCAAACATTCCCTTTACCAAAGAAAATGAGTTAAACACAGTATCGCTGAGAAAGCTGAATTAAACAGGCAGTGGAGTGTGGTGCTTCGTGCAGGAGGCAAAGAGACTGCATGCTCCTGGGGCTAAAAGGGGAGGTTCCCTAAAATAAAACTGACCATTAGAATCCTCCCCCCGGCATGCCCCACAGAGACCACTCAGTGTGACAGTCATTTGGGCAGGGCAAAAGCAGCTGGGGCCATTGCCAGCACCCTGAAAGTCTTGTGTATCTCGCGGCACTGAGGAAGGAGGGCGCACACTCTGCAAAGAGAGTGTGGACACGACAGTGAGCTGCTGGGGGCCGGGGCACAATGGGATCAACGGCCAAGATCAGTACAGGGATTCATGTGCTAACTCCAACGTTCAAAATGCTTGAGGGAAAGGAGTCATGACCAATGTTCCCTCTAAGCTGTGGAGTCTTGTGAGCAAGAATTATACTCTGTGAGCTCCTGGCATTAAAGCGGTGAGCGAGTGATTTGGGTCCTGCACAAATCAGTTTGCTCTGGAGCCACATCCTTCCTGAGTGAAGGCAAAACTGTGTGAGCCAGAGGCTAAAAGACTGTGAGCTGGCTCACACTAACTCAGCTTAGAGGGAACCCTGGTCATGACAATCCTGCAACTACAGAAGATGTCTCTATCGGGAAAGTGTGATAATCACTAGATTGTCTTGCTCAGAAAGACAACATGGTAAGGCGGCTGGAACACACCGGGCCAGAGCACCTGAATGCCTTCTGCATGCACTCCTTGAGAGCTGGTGCGGTGTAGCGGATGGAGCGGCAGACTACGGCCCTGGGAGACTCAGGTTCGAATCCTCCCTTCTAGCATGGAAGCTCACTGGGTGACGCTGGGACCATCACAAACTCTCAGCCTGACCTACCTCACAGGGTGGTCTGAGAAAATGGAGGAGGGGAAAACGATGTTCTAAAGCCACTTTGAGTCTCAACTGGGGAGAAAAGTGGGATATGAATGCATCGTCCCTCCCTTCCCTCCTCCTCTTCCTCCTCCTCCCTGCAAAGGTACAGAGAGAAGCAGCTCCTTCCCTTGACTGGAGCCGTTCGCCTCACCTCTGCCTCTCGGGCTCTCCATCCACTTCCTCGTCGGCACTGCAGGTGGCGCTCGAATCATTGTCTGAGTTGGGTTCCATCCTCTGGGCACTGGCTTGCTGGGTGGGGCCAAAGTCCATGTCTTCCGGCTCGAGCTTCTCCTTGGGCTGGCCCCCGTCCCTCTCTTTGGCATCCGTCTCCATTTTCACCTGGACGTCTTCCGGGAGCCTCGCTTCAGCCTCGACAGGCTCCGCTTTGGTGTGGACCACGAGGTTGAGCACGGGCTTGGTGTCGATCGGCTGGCTCCGGCTCTCCACCTCCATGGACTCCTCCCCCTCGGTCGTGGCTTCCTCTTTCACCTGCAGCTCGGTGGTGTTCTCGTTCTCCGCCGGCTTGACGCTCTGAGCTGGCAAGGGAGGGGACGCCGCCGGGGCAGCTTTAATGGCCGACTCCTGCTCGGCTGTTGCCTCAGAGGTTGCCCTGGAAGAGCCGCTCTCGGCTGGGGCATTCTCCGAGGGCTTGGCGGCGTCCACCGGGGAAGGTGAGGGAGCACTTTCGGTATCCGAGCTATTTTCGGCACCTGGGAAAGGCATTAAGACAGGAGTGAGCATTCTAAAAGTAATTAAGCGGCATTAACTGGATACCAACGTATTCCTGCTCCGTACCACATGGCGCACAAGGATAGACCTGATATCTCTGGGGGTGGATTCTGCACTTCTGTCACTGCAATACACAAGCCAAGTCACATCACTGCTGGGGAAATCGGTCCCGTCTTCCGGCTCCTTGGCTAAAACACTGGTTTCTGCCTTGACTACCACAATCCTCCTTTCGGCCTTCTCGGCTCTAGGTAGATGTCTGCCTTGAAGGCCAGTTGCTCACTTGTCATTCAGACCGCCCAGCCAGCCTCATGCAGTCTCTCCACCGGCTTCCTGCCCCCAGGCCTCCAAGACCGTTCACGGGCTTGAGCTGGCATCTCCCATGTCAAAGGATACACAAAGTCAAAGTCAATTAGAACTCATCAAGAAATTAAAGTCTGTCTGTCATCCTGCTTAAGCAGAGACTTCGGCTTCCTTACTCGCTACAATCACTCACAAGCCTACAGGATCCGCTTCACAAAAATTTTATTTGGCTGCTCTTAGTGTATTTTACCAGACCGTGACCTTGTACCAGGTATCAGTTAATTTCCACTTGCACTTATCAACTGGCTCGTCTGTGTGAACCTCTGATCCGTCTCATCGCCCATTATTTGCAATGGCTAACTCTGTTTCAGACATAGAGAGAGGTCACACTTCGAAGTTTTCTAATGGGATTCATGCTTTTGTACCTCCTTTTTATTTATTCATTCAGATTTTTAGACCGCCCTTACAACAAGATAAAAGCGGTAGATAATTTAGATTAAGTTAAAACCATAATAAAATGCCACACGATCAATACATAGACAGTCTGTTCCAAGATGGCAAAAAATTTCAGGGAAAAACCAAAGGCCTGGCAGAACATCTCTGCCTTACAAGCCCTGCTCTGACAGCTCCTCACCACCTAGTGAACCTACACTTGAATGACCCATGACTGAATTAACCTTCACCCACGCTGTAACCAACCAAGTATTCTCAGTTTGATTTTCATACACATCTGAAGCAGTGTTCCCTCCAAGCTGAGTTAGTGTGAGCTAGCTCACAGTTTTTTACCCTCCGGCTCACACATTTTGGTCTTAGCTCGGGAAGGATGGCTCCAGAGCAAACTAATTTATGCAGAAGCAAAACTGCTCACTCACAACTTTAATGTCAGTAGCTCACAGAGTAGAATTTTTGCTCACAAGACTCCATAGCTTAGAGGGAGCATAGATCTGAAGTGAGCAGCAACTCATGAAAGTTCTTATGGAAATAAATGCTATTTGTCTTCATGGTGCCAATGGGCACGATGGCAGCCACAGACACCGTTTCTGGTGCCCATTAAGTGTTTATAGAAAGTAGGTGGAGCCAGATGGGGCTTTTGCCCAGCAAAGTTTCCGATCGGCCACTGGAGATCTGATCAGTTGTGCAGATTTTTTAAAAGTCGCTTTGGCAGCAGCTGCCACCACTTCACCAAAGGTCTTCACTGTATGACAGAAGATAAGTGTCTTGTTAAACAGAGGTTTTGTTTGAAATGCTGAAGAGCTACTATTCGAATTATGCATGACCTCACTCCTTGGGATTTTGTGGCTGGCTCTGCAAGGGACAGAGCAGGTAGAGAAAGAAGTACTTTTCTCCCTTTCTCACAATACAAGAATTTGTGGGCACTCAGTGAAATTGCTGAGCAGTTAGGTTAGAACAGATAAAAGGAAGTACTTCTTCACCCAAAGAGTGACTGACACATGGAATTCACTGCCACAGGAGGTGGTGGTGGCTACAAGCATGGATGGCTTCAAGAGGGAATTAGATAAGCATATGGAGCAGAGGTCCATCAGTGGCTGTTAGCCACAAGGTATAGATAGGAACTCTTGGCCTGGGGCCAGTGATGCTCTGTATTCATGTGCTTGGGGGGGGGGGGCAACAGTGGAAGGGCTGCTAGTGTCCTGGCCCCGCTGCTGGACCTCCTGATGGCACCTGGCATTTTTGGCCACTGTGTGACAGAGTGCTGGACTGGATGGGCCATTGGCCCGACCCAATATTGGCTTCTCTTATGTTCTTATGTTCTCTTGTGACAGCGCCCACCATTCAGTGACAGAATTCAAGAGTTGCCCACAGGCTCAAAAAGGATGAAGATCCCTGCACTATTGTTTGACTTTCCCCTGATCCTTTCTCTCTCACTGCTCCTGATGCCTGGAACGACAGTTTCTCCAGAACACCTATGTGAAGTCACCTCTCTTCCCCCTCCTCACCCACCCCTCCCCTTTTTCACTTTAAGCCGCCTTCAGCCAGACTCTGAAGAGGCGGCATACAAATATTCCAAATAAAAACCATTAATCAAAAGCAAGAGATTTTCATCAGGCCCACAAGCTGCTTAATCATTGGTTGGAAGGATCAGCCCAGAACCAATCGCTTTAAGTGATTCACTTATCTGCAGAATCATCGCATGACAAAATTAGAATGATTTCCCTAAGGTAGTGGATGTCCCTTGGTCTATAATAAATGTCATACAGAAGAATTACTCGGGTTGCTGCAAACGGAGTGTCAAAGAATGTAGGTGAGATTTCTCTCTCTCTCTCTCTCTCTCTCTCTGTATTGGTGTAATGGGTTTCCTAAGCTTTTTAAAGCATTCTAAGATAGTTATTTAAACTTTGATTAGCTTTAAAATTCATTTATTCAATCATGCTAGAGAAATTTTAGGAGAGCTGATTCTCCTTAAATGCAGCCTTTCAGTGATTTTAGGGTTAACTTGTTGTTTCTCTTCTTTATTACCCTTGCCTTAAAAAAAACACTTGGGTCTTTTTCAATAACGATCATTAACTTGCTGAAAGTTTCTGCCTGGTCAGCTGGCATCAATCAAGATGGGTAGCCATGTTAGTCTGTCTGTAGCAGTAGAAAACAGCAAGAGCCTAGTAGCACCTTAAAGACTAACACAATTTGTGGCACGGTATGAGCTTTAGTGAGTCACTGCTCACTGCTTCAGATATCTCTTCACAAGGTTGATGGATTTCTGCTCTGTATGGCTAAATGTGGTGCCTTTCATGGCGAGAGATCAAGATGGGCAGCTGTATTTGTCTGTAGAAGTAGAAAAGAACAAGAGCCCAGTAGCACCTTAAAGACTTACAGAATTTGTGGCAGGGGAAATTTTGTTAGTCTTTAAGGTGCTACTGGACGCTTGCTCTTTTCTACTGCTGGCATAAAGTTAAACAAAGAACTCCCTTATAAATACTGTAGTATTGCAGATAAGTTGCCCCCATTTCTTGTGCTTATCTGGACAGCTCCTTCAGAAGTCTCTGATGCTCTTTGGCCAGTGAAAATAACACTCACAGAACAAAATGTTCAGACCCTTGAACTGGATATGGGACAATTATTGTGTTACACCACCAGACCGCAGCGTTAGCTAGTGGGCCAGTGCTACCAACCAGTTCAAGGGCTGAGTGCCATTAAGCGTCAGGAAGAGCAAGCAGAGGGGGCACATCTAGGTCATTGTCCACTCTGGAGGGCTCCAAGTTGGAGGTCAGCTGGTCCCATTCCTTAGCATGCCTGAGGGAAAGACTGATCTGCCCACTCGTGTCCTAAATCCCTCTGCACCTTTGGAATCACCTTCGCTGTCTTCCGGGTTCTCTTCTTCATTGGATGCCTCGATGTCCTCATCCTCTTGAGCGGAGACGGTTGAGGCCACGCTCTCGCACTGTGACACTTCACGCTCCTCACGGGGCCTTCGAGAAGACTAGAAAGCAAAAAGAAGGAAAGGGGACTTTCTTAAACTCCCTTTACACGCACATTGTGGCCGCAGCCCCCCATTTCTGGCTTTGGGTCTATGGCATCTGACAGCCTCCTAGCTTCACCCAGGATCAACCACGAATGGCCTCTTGGATAAAACACGTGGTGGCATCAAGAGTCTCAGCACACATTGTATTCGAGGTGTACAGCTAATATCCTTAAAGTGTACCACTAAAATTCTAAACAGAGAAGGTAACTAATACATATTTCAAAGACTGTATGTCACCCTTGTCAGGACTGGGATGCAGAACAACAGCAAGCTGTGATTTCAGGTTTGTACAGAAATGTGAATAAATGCAAATAATTTTGGAAACAGTATGCTACAATGTGACTGACAATACATCATGAAAGAGTTCAGTGTTTTTGGTGTTAAAGTCACTCTTGATAACCAAATATGCTGGTAGCCCTATCGTGACTATATGAAACTGTTTCGGTCCAAATAATTCACACTCTTTTGTATATTATGAGATCTACTTTCTAATTACAACTTTGCATTTTCCATCTCTCTGATTGAAAAAAATTAAGCTACGTGTGCTAAGCATTCTGTGGCTATCCCAAATATTGGGTATATTTCCAATTTTGCTGGAAGAATAGGGCACTTACACAGTTTAATTTCATAAATACACAGAATAGTATAATTTCATATGCTCATTTGGTTATAAAGTAGGCATTTTATATAATAAACAAACAAAAAATAAAATAAAATAAAATTAGGTTTTCTAGGAAAGGCAAGCATATATATTTCCATTTTCTCCAAAGTTTCAGTTTATTTATTTTCTTCCCATGGCTTCCAAATTTCTAGAAAGTTCACATATCTAAGTTTGTAGCGTGTAACATGTAGAACCACCAAGAGAAATCTCTCTCTTCCACAAGTATGTGCTTTCTAAAGGCAGCTGCTGAAGGGCATGGCGTGCCCTTCTTGATCCCTCCAGGCCTGCGTCTCCACTGGGCTAGACAACAGAATGCCAGCCCTCATCCCCTGCCAACTTGTGAATGGTGGGGCACTGTGAGTCATAGGTTTCCAGCGCCTGCCAGAGACAACCAAGCCAAAACCCTGCTACAATGGGAGTTGCAGGTTCTCCATTAAGAGTAGAAGTTCTTGATCTAAAGGGTCTATACTGACAGCTCAGAGTGGTCTTGCACCTCTGGTAATAGAACAGAGCTTTTGCAGAGCTCAAGTAGTTTGTTTCTTGAACCTGGAGGACTTGGACTGACTCTTCTTCTCACCCCATGACTATGATTGGACCCTACCACTTCCTGTTCCTGTATCAATGTCCCCATCCTGTGAATTCCTTATCTATAGACACGGAACAGACCCAGCTTGCCCTTCCTGCCTTCACCTGTTTCTGCTCTTCTTCTTCATCTCACGAGCTTCTCTGCAGCTTTCTGGCCTCCTGCAGTTTGCTTCCCTTTAAGCCCACCCGACCCTCTCGTCGACCCGCTTCCCTTCTGTTCTGACCCTGATTTGCCTCTCGACCTGCACTTCCCACATCACCCTCTGGTCTCAACACCTCATTCTCACTTACCCTTCACTGGGAAGTACACACACACACACACACACACACATGCAAATCTCTCCCCACCCCGGGCACATGTCATAAGGCCGGCTCAACTCACTTTCTGCTTGTATTGCTGAAGAAGGCTGTCCAGGTTGTGCCTCCTTTTATAGTTGAAATAGAAGTTCTTGCACTGGGCCTCGCTCTTGGTTGCCACCATTTTGGCTATGGCTGCCCAGTTTCGTCCATGTTCCACTAACCCTGTTGAAACAGAATTTGTCACATTTATCTAAGTGCGTACGTGTCACCTTTCTTAAAATAAAGGCAGTGCAGCAGCATTAAAAAACCCCAGTAAGAATAAATCCCCACAAAGATCTTGCTCAGGCAGTCAACCAAACAGTTCCGTACTCTTGGTCAGTGGCTTTCAAAATGATGGGAAATGTTAGAATACCCCATTGAGAAGACTACTAAAGGCGTCAGAACACTCCCCAGAATCCCTTGCCACACACAAGGGATCCTTAACAGATGCTGATGCGATAAGCGCTCCTCAAAAAGGAAGAATAATTTTGAGTTTATATGAGAGGGAAGGGATATGGAAGGACAAACGGAAATCAAGTCCAGTCACAGAGTACTCAGATGCTCATTACCAAAAGATATTCAGGTGGGTAGCTGTCAGCTATGTTGACATAAAGATTGGGGGTGGGGTGCTTGCTTGCCCTGTGTACCAAGTACTGCTGCATTCCTTCTGTGCTTCTGTAACGCTTATCTATGGCCTTGCAGGTGGTGTGTAGTGTCTGGGATTCAGGGAACCGTGGGAGCGCTTTCGGTTCTCAAGCTTTGGCTCTAACGGCCTGGGGCTCCTTCTCCCGCGTGCGGGAATGTGGCTAATTGGCCTAAGGAAGGGTGTGTGTGCATACGAATACCCTATATCCCATTATGCTTGTAGGGGTGACGCCATTCCTAACAGTGACTTTGTTAATGCATCCATAGCTCTGCAATAAAGTATAACCTTTCTGATAAGCATGCCATGTACTCAGTTGTTGGCTGTGGAACCTGATAGTAGCCTTATTGGTCTGAAGCAACAGAGCAAAGTTTGAGTCCAGTGGCACCTTGAAGACCAACAAAGTTTAATTCTGGGTATAAGCTTTCGTGTGTATGCACTCTTCTTCAGATAGTTTCAGGTGGGTAGCCGGGGTGGTCTGAAGCAAAAGGACATGTACATGAAAGCTTATACCCAGAGTTAAACTTTGTTGGTCTTCAAGGTGCCACTAGACTCAAACTTCGCTCAACGATATAATTATCCTCATCAGACCTAACACTGGTAAGCATCTATCCCAAGTTACAAGTTAGGGGTGGTGAACCAGGAAATGATAACACAAAAGAATCCAGCTGTGGAAAAGGAGAGAACCAGAAAACAGCTGTGGACAGCATGAAAAAGAAAACCCTGCAGGGTTGCAAGAGCAAAGACACCACAGAGTTAGATTCCACTGAGGAAGAGCACACCTGATACTGTCGGGCATCGCCAATCTGTGAACAGGACAGGCCACCTGCCCTGGGGGATGGCACTTGTTTCACAGACCTGTGGCTCGTGGAGTCTTTTTCAAGACTTGGGGCCACAGTGCGCCCTGCAACTGTAGCCCAAGTGATGTGCCACCGCCGAGCCCTGTATCAGGGCAACTAGCAACAACAACAAATCCTCATCCTCTTTACTAAAGCAGCAGCGAGTCACACGGTGCCACCTAAGCCTATAAAACGTTTCCAGGTCAGGTCTGCTCAGGGGCTGGCCAAGAAAGGGGACCTTTGGCCAGTGTACTCCCTGGGACAGACCCATGAAACCTCCGACTTCACCTTCCCTTCTTTCCCTGCCTGCGTTACCTTCCCTGGTAACGCAGCTGAAAGTGCCATGTTTCCAGCCGTGCATGCACACAAGAACCAGTGCATTATGCAAAAACAGGATAGACTGAAGGGGGGGGGATGATGCTCACTGTTAGCAAGGGGAAAAAAGAGGGGGGAATCATGGAAATGAGCGCAAGGAGAGAATCTCTGTGTAGCCCACGGGCTGCCTGTCAGGGAATGAGGCTGTGGAAAGTTGCAGCGGAAGAGCAACTGATGGAGGTCTTGTTCACACATGCGGGAGAAGCCGGAGGTGCTGGAAAAGGCCACACCCTTTCAGGCGGGAGATGCAGGATCCCAGCTTTTCATGTTCCTTGGCACAGAAGATGTCCTGCAGTTAGAAAGCTAGTACAGGAGCCCCCCAACACCCCCACACTCTTGCTGGCCATCCTGTTTTTCTATTTCTAGGGAACTTCTATCGGAGGGGAGCATCCTTGAAGGCGATCTTTCACCAACAGGATGAAGCAGTACAGACTGCTCTGCCACCTCAGGACCCACACAGCATAGCGATTAGAACGTTGGACTAGGACCAGGAGACCTGGGTTCAAATGTTCACTTGGCAATGAAGCTCACTGTGTGACCAGTCACTCTCTCAGGGCTGATCAACCCCGCAGGGTTGTTTTGAGGATAAAATCAGAAAGGGAGAACCACTAAGAACATAAGAGAAGCCAATGTTGGATCAGGCCAATGGCCCATCTAGTCCAGCACTCTGTCACACAGTGGCCAAAAATACCAGGTGCCATCAGGAGGTCCACCAGGGGGGCCAGAACACTAGAAGCCCTCCCACTGTTGCCCCCCCCCCCAGCACATGAATACAGAGCATCATTTGCTCCAGACTGAGAGTCCCTATCTATATCTTGTGGCTAATAGCCACTGATGGACTTCTGCTCCATATGCTTATCTAATTCCCTCTTGAAGCCGTCCATGCTTGTAGCCGCCGCCACCTCCTGTGGCAGTGAATTCCACGTGTTAATCACTCTTTGGGTGAAGAAGTACTTCCTTCTATCTGTTCTAACCTGACTGCTCAGCAATTTCATGGAGTGCCCCATGAGTTCTTGTACTGTGAATTCTGAATTCCCAGGACAAAGGGTAGGAGCAATATTTTGACAGGGACATAGAGCACTGTCCCCTCATTTCCACCTCCGTCTCCTAGAGGAGCGTTCTTGACATGGGTTGCGTGCAGGACGGCTTGGGCCATCCAAAAGCCTATAATTCTGCCCTCTTAAGAGACGCATTAGCCTCCTTTCCCAAACAGTGAAACTAAAGGGGGGGGGGGGGGGAGTGAAGGGAGGAGAGAGAAAGGAGCTCGGCTCTCCTAAGGTCACGCCGTGTCAGAGCCAAGAATAAAAAACCCAGCTCTCCTGACCCCGCAGTGCCGAGAGCTTATCTACTGGATCATGCCGTCTCCCCAGCTGACGTAACCTAATTCTCCCGGTGCAGGAAAGCTGCTTAAATCTCTATAGCAAGCGCTGAACACAGTGCACTGGAGGGACAAGAGGTGGGGCAAAGTCTGCCTTTGCGGCACGAAGCAGGGCTCGTCAGGGTGCAAACAGCAGGGATTTGCAGAGCCACCCAAGTTTGTGCATTATCAAACCCGGGTCACAGGATCAGCAGCCTTGCATGATCTACAGCATCGGTTGTATCGGATGGCCTCCTACCTCTACCCAGCATCAACCAAAAAGAGTTTCCTAGCACATGGCACTGAGAGCCTCACCACTCAATATATACGTGAAGCATGCAGGCTCATCTCCTTCAAGCACACAGCTAAAATGTTAAGGAGAGAATCCAACGAATGCATTTTTTTTAGGGGGGGGGGAATGTGTGTATCACACAAGCAATGTTCCCTCTAAGCTGTGGAGTCTTGTGAGCAAAAATTCTACTTTGTGAGCTGCTGGCATTAAAGTTGTGAGCGAGTGATTTGGCTACTGCATCATTTAGTTTGCTCTAAAGCCATCCTTACTGAGCTAAGACAAAAATGTGTGAGCCAGAGGCTAAAAAACTGTGAGCTAGCTCACACTAACTCAGCTTAGAGGTAAACTTGTCAAGTAAACTTGTCAGAGCTGAGAGAACTGCCGCTCTTGTGGCACAGCAAGTAGTAGTAGTAGCAGTAGTAATTTATTGTGTTGACCATAGGTCATAATAATACAAAAAAAAGTGCATAAAATTCCACATGATAAAGCTGCAAGGTAAATACAAATTAAATTAATATCCAACAAGGTCATATAAATACAGAGGCAAATAAGGTTGTGGTCATTTCCATACAGTTCGATCTAATCGATCTAGCCACCAATGCAAACAAAGCAACTCTGTTAGAAACATATGGATCTTTATCTGCAAGCAAAAATATAACTTTTCCCATATCTGAAACTCCTTCCCGGGGGGGGGGGGGGAGAGTGGGCATCTCAAAATGTAATGGGTCAAATCATCTACTTCTCCAGTGCCGGGGGGCAGGGACCCTTAGGAATCGGCCGGTGTGAACCATAGAGGGCATAGCTTGAAATCTTAAGTTGGTCAAGGCCAACCTTAATTTCACTGTTGTTAAAGTCTTTAGGTAAGATGACCTGGTATGGTCTTCTTTAAATAATCTGAAGAAAGGGGCCACAGCAAGTAGCAATGCCGGGTTTGTAGTGTCTAATATGGGAAATGGCCATTAGAAATTTCTCTCTTCCACACTTGTGTGTCTTCTAGCAGGGGCAGGATGAAGGCAGCTGCTGAAAAGAACAGCACGCCCTTCTCCGTCTCTCCAGGCTGATGCCTCAACTGGGCTAGAGATCAGAATGCCAGCCCATCGCCTGCCAATGGGGCAGGGGGACTACGAGTCCTAGATTTCCTATGGAAATCCCTCCCACCAGTGACTCATTAGTGCCAGTTTAGATATTGCAACAGCATACATATGGCCAATCACTCAAGACGTCTTCACCGAAAGAGTGATTTAACATGTGGAATTCATTGCTGCAGGATATGGTGGCAGCTACAAGCATAGACAGCTTCAAGAGGGGATTGGAGAAACATATGGAGCAGAGGTCCATCAGTGGTTATTAGCCACAATGTATAGATGTGATGCTCTGTATTCTTGGTGCTTGGGGGACAACAATGGGAGGGCTTCTGGAGTTTTGGCCCTGCTGGTGGATCTCCTGATGGCACCTGGGTTTTGGCCACTGTGTGGCACAGAGTGTTGGCCTGATACATGGTTCTCTTATGTTCTCACTTGTGGATGGCCCTGCAGCAATGGCAAAACTGCCCTGCCCTCCTTGGCTTCTGGTGGCCTGGCCAGGCCACCCAAATTCTGCCAGGCAGCACAACACGTCTTGGCTGTCAAGCAGAAATGCAACGCTCCAAACAACCAACCTTCCCTATAAGGATAAGCTAAAGAGCTTTGGGTTTTTCAGTATACAGGAAGAAAAAGGCAACTATGGGCAGGGAGGAAGAGAACACAACTGAGGTTCACAAAATTAGGCCTCATGTGAAGAGCAGGAAACTAGAATTCAGGGGCACCCAATAAAGGGGGAAAAACTTCATTATGTAAAACATGCAATTAATTTGTGGAACTCAATGCCGCATGTCACAGTTGGGGATATTAACAGCTTTCAAAGAAGATTAGATTCACAAAGGAGAGGTTTATCAATGGCTAGTTAGCTTGTGTCAAAGATACACAAGGGTCAAAGAAAGTAGACTTCTGAGTATTGGTCATTCGGGGAGGCTGTGGCTCTCTAGGGTCTTTCCCAATCCAGCTCCCTGAGATATTTTACATGGAAATATACTGCCTGAAACTAGGACTTCCAGGATGGAAGGAGCGTGCTCTGTCAACTGAGCCACGGCTCTTTCCCACACATCTGAAGTCGCCTTATACCAAGACGGACGCTGGGTACACCTCGCTCAGTTCTCTCGACTCAGATGGGCAGTGCTGTTTACAGTCTCTGACAAGAACAAGTTGCCAGAATGACCAGAGGTTCTTCTAGGGCCCGGGGATTGGATCTGAGACCTTCAGCATACAAAGCAGGCACTCCACTCTCCTCAACAGGTTGTTATGCGAAGAGATTGCAGCCATTTATTTCCCACACAAACCACTCCTTTTCTGAAAAGTTCCCACCCCCCCTCCAAACCAAGGCATGCTGGTCCATCCTTTCAGGAACTGCCAGAACCTACCCCATCACAGCCATTTCAAAGCATTTCCCATTTCTGGTGGTTTCTGGCAGATTACGTCTCAAGCGGGTGTGTGAAAATCTCTCGCAACGAATCGGAAGCTGCCAAATTCTCCGGCCAATGCCAGCGCCAGCTCAGCTAAAAGAGTGGAGCATCCATTCCTGTCAAACCACTTTTCCTCCCCAATACAACTGCTCTATAAAATCTGACGGCCCCATAGTATCAGTTTCTTGCAACTGGCCCCTGGACGACAGCATTCATAACAGTGTGTGGACATCCATTGTCCAGGCTCTGGCTGGGGACAGTGGTCTGGAGGCACTTTCCATTGCTGCTGCTTTGTACTTGCATACATACATGTATGTGCACGCGCACCCCACCCCCACACGAGAAAGGTTTTTACCTTTTTTCGCAATTTCCATCTCTTCTTCTGTCCAGCGGGAGGTTTCCACCGGCTCTGCCAAAGCTGAAACAGCAGAGAGCAAATCCTGTCAGATGGCAAAGCGGCCGGGACCTGCGCTTTCAGCCTAATCTATTAATCTGTTTACATTAAGGACTGCTCAGGGAATGATGCCGGGTGACGGCGGGAGACAGTCGGTTCTGATTAAGATCCACACCAGGGGCCAGAGAGAGGAGGGAAAGAACGAGATCCCCCTCTGGAGCGGAGGAGATCGGTGGGGGAAAACAGCTATCCACTTGTAATTCCCGCGATTCTGACATACACAGCCTGCCCGACATGTTTGGAGGACTGAAAATCCACCGCCACTTATTAAACCGGGCGGGGGGGGGGCAGTCTCTTGTCCAAAAGTACAGCGAATTTCCCCTTGGCCTGCTCAATACCAGCGGTCTTAGATGCCAGCAAATGAACCAGGGACCCCCGCATACAAAGCAAGTGCCCTCCCCACTGACCCACGCAGAGAAAAGTCACAGACACGGAACTGCCTCGTTCCAGTAGGCAACAAGCACACGACCACTCTGGCCGGCAGAGGCTCTCTGGAATGCAGGCAAAAAGCCTTTCTTGCTCCCCAGGATTATTTAACGGAGGGATGCCAGAGGCTGGACCGGAGAACTTCTCCTTTCCCCCACCCTGCTCCTGCAAACAGCGGGGTCAATGAGGGACTCATCGGTGATTAACTGCTCATCAGGATCTGAGCTTTGATTTAAGGGCTGGCGGCCAGCTTTCAGGCTTCTGGCACAGGAAAGTGACCAAAGAGCCTGTGAAACCAAACCGGGGGCTTGTGTGCAGTTTCGTAACTCCCTGCAATTTTGGCACATGAGCGCCAAATGTGGGAGCAGAAGAAAGCCTCCCGAGTACCAAAGCTTTCATTCAAAGCAAAACGTCTAGCCACTGCAATGCATACACCCCATACCCAGCAGGATGGGTGCTAGTGTTGGCCAGGCAACATTTCTCAAAGCTAAGCCCCCCCCATGCCTTCCCCACAAGGATTGGCAGACTTAGGAGACATTTAGACAGTTTGCAGAGCACAGTTTTTCTTGGGCAGAACTGGTAGAGGTTTTGCCACAGCTCTGGAAGTGCCGGGAACACACCTCAGCCAAAGCCTTCTTAACAGCAGGGTCTCTGGCTCTTGCACACATCCTGCTTTCTCCTCTGTGGCGGCGCAGCAGCGAAAGACAGCCATCAAGTGGAATGGACTCACATGCCAAGGGAACTTCCGCCAGGGAATCCCACTGGGTGGACTCTTGCCCTGCTGAGGGGTTTGGCTTGGAGGATGGTGGCAAGAAATTGCTGTCTGTGCTTCTGGAATTCTCCCCATGTAGCACCGCCTCTCTCCCATCTCCACCCTCTGGCTTTTTTCTTAGACAGACGTAGGGCTTTTCTTTATGTCTTTCTCCCCACCCCATCCCCATACTGCTTTGGTTTATCCCCTAATTTCCACACACATTTTTCTGCCTACAGTTTTTTCTTGGCGGTTCCCCCCCCCCATTATTAACCTGGTCTGTTACCTTTTCTTTTCAGACAACTTTTACCCCAATCATCATCATCGTCGTCGTCACCATCACCACCACCACCACCATCAGGCATTGTGGGTTGTATAGCCAGGAGATCCTAAGATTGTTTGGCAGCCTACAGTTCTAGCTCTTTAGCGTTATGCACCACTTGATGGCAAGCTAGACTTGTTTTTGAGGCACGAGATGCTTCAGAGGTGGTTTGCCATTGCCTGCCTCTGTGTCACGACCCTGGTATTCCTTGGAAGTCGCCCATCCAAATACTAGCCAGGGCCGACCCCGCTTAGCTTCCGAAGTCTGATGAGGCTAGCCTGGGCTACCCCCATCTTTTTCTGGAAGCACATTTTGAGTCACCTTTTCCCTCATGCATAATGTTTCTGTCAGTCTTCTTTGTCCCACCCACTCCCACCCACCTCCAAACCTCTTTTTGATTACTCGACTGTCGTCCTCAAACTGCTCCCTCTCTCGTGCCCCGAAGAGTGGTTTCATTTATGATTTTGTTTAAAGAAAAGTGGCACTAAAATATCGATACATTCATATTTTGCTGCAATGATAGGCCAAGCAAGTTCTCTGGATTCCCAGCTTTCATTTATTTTATTTTTCATTTTTTTAAAATGTAGGCCCCTAGTCCCTTCCTTCACAGAGATAAAGAAAAAAGGCCTGTCTCCTCAAGGGAAGGGGCCTCGAAGCTGGGGATTCAGCGGACCTGCTTGATCTATTATTACAGCTAGATATCGATATTTTAGTGCCTTAAAAAAAAAAAAAAACACGCAACCATGATCTCAATATATCAATACAGCATGCGCAAAAAATGGGTGTGTGTGTGTGTGTGTGCTGTGATGCCACCAATGACACCAGCACCCTTCCTTGAAAGTCCTAATTATTTAAGACACATGCAGGAGAAAATAAACTAAATCCACAACTGTTAAAATGCGGAGGGAGGGCAGATGTGCAGAGGAACAGTGCCCCAAAACCGATGCTTGTGGATCGACTGCCAAAAAAATCAGGAGTCAGTCAAGCATGGAGAAAAGTACCTAGTCTTCATTCCCATATGGACCAGAGCCCAAGCATGTACATTTCCCTACCCACCCCCCTTTTTCCCCTTGCCCCCCCCCCACGTCTTCCTCTCCAAATATTTAGAACATCTGTGGGCAAGCTGTCCGTCAGCAGTGCTGATGAAGCACCGTGGTACAATATAATTAAGTTTTCTCACCTTCATCATTGTCAGACTGGCTAGCCACTGGGGAGGGGGTGCCTTCTCCTAAAGTATGTGGCTTGGCTAGCTTGCCTGAATCGTCCAGAATACTTAGCACTTGCCTTCCAGCTGCTCTCTGCTTTGAAGACTGCCGTGCACCAGGTTACAGGGGCTGGCGAGTCTGTTGTATACTAAGGATGAGTCAACCCTAAACTAGCCCTGGGGTCGGGTTGAGCTTGCATCCACAAAACAATAGTTGGCTGGGATCCTAGAATGGACCAATAGAGAAACAATATAATGTAAATAGCCTATCGTTGGGGGTGGGAGTGTTTGGGGTGTTGTTTTCTGCATGCTTAAAAACCCAGCTTCTGCCTGGGATTTTGTCTTCCTTCTCCTTGCTGAAATAACTAACAAAGTAGAGCTGATCACTGTACTTGAGGTCTGTTCATCCATGGAACCCACTATTTAACAGCGTCTCTGCCCTGCTTTGTGTACATACATGGAGATCTTTAGTTATTTATACCCCCCCTTCCTCCCCCATGGGAACCTACAGCAGCCTATTGTTTTCTTCTCCTCCTGTTTATCCTCACAGCCACCCAGTGAGGAAGGGTCAGGGTACCTCTGGGATTTGTTCTAGCTTTTGGATTCAGAGGCATAAGGGTTCTGATTGCAAATATTATATAAAGTAGCTTTGGGAAGACAGAACAAAGCATGTGTTTGTATATTCCCCTCACCCCCATCTGCTCACCTGGACTTTGGGTTACTACTTTCTGTGTGCAGAATCGCACTGAACCATCTTTGCCTCTTCCTGCCCCCTTTTAAAGACTGCACAGACAGACTGATTCACTACACGGGTCACAAAGCGAGAGTTAACAAACCTGAGGCTATTGTGAAGAGACAAACATGTTTCTTAAACATCAATGCCATGCATGTGATGTCTCACCAGAAAGCACAACCTCGTTTTTGTTTTGCTGTTTTTTTTAAAAAAGCATCTCCTGTTCTTAAAGTAGGACAGCCCGTCCTTGGACATAAAAGAAACTGTTCCCGCACAATTGTATTGAAACCATTTATACAACCTGTAGTTGCTTCTGAAATACTGCATCTCAGTTTGCCTTTCTATCCTCGGTCCTCTATTCTTAGCTTCTGGATGCTGTGCTCAGGACTGTGTATAATCTGAACCCCTTTAAAACGGGTTGATTCCCAACAGTGATTTCCTAACTGATAAAAACACATTGCTTACATTCTCACTAATAATCCTTACGGCCCATCCTATAAGGTAGGACACGACCTGTCCCACATATTTATTTATTTATTTATTTATTTATTATTTTAATTTATAGTCCCGCCCTCCCTGTGAACGGGCTCAGGGCAGCTCACAAATGGGGCACATGCCAATACATAAAACAGGTTAAAACAGCTTAAAAACAATCATTATCATATTACAAAACTATAAAGTGCTCTAGATGTTTCAGATCAGTTTTCAATTAAAAGATGGCATCATAGAAATGGTACTCCCAGATCAGTGGGGTCCACGCAGCGCGGTTATTCACTCCTCTCAGGGCCAGTTGGTGATGATGGTAAAAGTCATGATGGTAAAGGCAGTGGCAGCTCCTACTGAAAAGCCTGGTGGAAGAGCTCCGTCTTACAGGCCCTGCGGAACTGCGCAAGGTCCCGCAGGGCCCGGATCTCCAAACAGCCCAGTTTTAGGAGCAGTGCTACCCTCTCCTCCACCCCCATTCATTTAACAAAAGGTTTACATTATTAACCATACATAATGCCAATTTGGGAGAAATCCCAGTGACTAGCCTAAATACACAGAGGGAGCTTATGGCAAAAGATAAGCTACAAATTACAGGGCGACACTGCGACTGTGAAAAGGAGCGCTCCGTGTTCTCCTTTTCCTCTGTCCCCTCAGCAGGGATGCCTCAGTGTGTCCCCTTTTGCTTTCACATGTTGTTTGGCTCCTATACATTGCTGGTGTCCCCCATTTATACTGTGGCATTTCAGTCTCCTTTCTACACAAGCAGCACAAATCCCAGTGTTAAATTTAGCAGCAACTGTTTCTACTCACTCCTTAAAAAGTAACTGCGGTTTTGAAATCAACACTGTGTGCCTACAAAACCTGGCGCCCCCTGCCACTCAGACATTCCTCCGCGGTGTCAGCAGGACACTCCAGTATAGCCATGATAAACAAACAATATTAAATAATGAGGAAGTTGACCAACGTGCTTCTTCACGAGTCACTGCTCTAATTTTGAACTTCTCCAATCAACCTTTATTGGCACTAGGCGAATTCTACTGCCTCTATGCATAGGCGTGATTGGATCTGTCACTCCTGATGCAGAGGCGGGACGGAATTACCCTCTGTCTGGGGAAAGATCCCCAGAACAGTGACTCGTGCAGAACTACAGAGTAAACATCTGTGGATGAAATAATGAACTATGCCTCCAGTTTTTATTCAGAATTGCCTGGGCCCCCAGGAGGTCTGAAAACTGCTGGTCCATTAACACAACAGGCCCCATGATATCCACTACCCTGTGAGCTTCCCCACCAAGCTCCACTTTGCTCCCTGCAGGAGCAGCAGACTTGCGGCATGGAGGAGGGAGGACGAGACACGGGGCTGCCATTTTCAGTGGCAGCCGAGGGTCTCTCGGGATGACTAATTCAAGCCCATGCTCAGTTTAACCACAGCGCTGCTGGGCAACAACTTACCTTTGTCTCTTCACGTGCATCCAGTGTCTTGTTCAGACTATGCCACAATACCTACAATCTTGCTTCCAACGTAACATTAACCAACACGGTGCTCGCTTGGTACTTGTAAGACCGCTGGCACGGCGGCCAGGCGGCCAGTTTCAACAAGACGCCGGCCACCCGCAATGCCACATGGGTTAAGTTCTTCTTGCTCACCAGCATCCCGTTTAAAACTGTGGCCCTGCATTTGGGGACTTGTAGTTATGTTTGATCCTCCATTATGCAAAAAGGAGGGGGAAACACTGAAATACAGCCTCCTTTCTGGAGCCCTGCCCCTTGCAGGTCCTACTTAGTTCCCAGCTGCTCCTGTGAAATCTCTGCAGCATTTTCAAACCAGAGGCAAGCAATGGGTCACATAAAGAGTTGAAAGGATGGGATGCGGAAGCAGCCTTGGCTGGGTAACGGGCCTTTCTGGTGGGGACTGCCGCGGAGTCTTACTTACAAGGTTCTGGAGGGGGAGGCAACGAAGGCGGTGGCTCTTCAGTAGCGGCGGCGGCTGCGGCATTGGCTGCCGCGGCCTCGTTTGTCATTGATCTGGTGATCCGGCCCTTCCGCCGGCCTTGGCTGTTGGCAGTCTTCCGCCCCCGTGGAGCAGTCTGCTCCTTTTCCTCAGGCTCTTCAGGGGCAGCTTCGATCTTGTCCTTCTCTTTGATGTTCTCCCTAGGAAAAACACC